TGTGTAGACATACGGAAATGCTCCCTTAAGTATGGACCAGCAGCTTTTTTGATGATTTCTTCCGCGTAGAAGTGTTGATCCATTATACCTGCGGGTTTAAATAATATGTTAGCATATTGTAACAATTTATTTAGCATAGCCTACTTTGCATGCATTGCTTTCAAAACTTCATCACTCACCGTCAAAAATGACCAACGGACCAGGTCCCCATCGAGAAATTCCACCCCAAACATGCATTTTGACCGGGTGCTTCACTCTTGGTTTTGCAATGCCCCTGAAGTTGGTCTTTCTCCAGCACTTCAAGGCAAAACGTTCCAGTGCCACAGTTGACTCGTCAGTGAAGAGAACATCATCAAACTTCTCACCAGCAGCCTTCCATTCTTGAGCTTGGATCACACGCAAATCTTTGTTTTTTCCTCTGGTCATTGGAACGAATCTGTAAGCAGAATTTATCAAAATGTTACTATAAGAATGACATGTTGAGTGCCCGGTTATCACGATAAGTAATTAACAAAGAGACGCGTGTTACCTGGGCTTCCCAAAGTTCCAGCCAAGAGTCCGGACTGCCTTTCTCACCGAGTGTAACCCGATGGTTATGTTGTGCCGGCTTTGGAGAAGCTCTTTTACTTTTCTTGCTGGTAGTTCATCGTCTGCTCTCAGGATGGAGTCTATTATTTCCATCACCTGACTGAAAGAGACACATTGTTTCAGTACATAGTTTGGTAAAGCCTGTTGTTATTTTGTTCACATGTGAAACTTACAAACTTGAGTATATATTTAAATAATAAAAAGTACATTTACCTTGTCAATTTATGTGGCTTGCGTTCCTTCTTCTTCTCCACAACAGCACATCGGCAATGACGCTGGATAGTTCGCAAGGAAGCTGTTATTCCAGTTGTGGCCAAGTGTTTGGCGATAGCGCTAGTCGTCCAGCCTTTCTTACGCAGACTCTTGATGAGCTCACTGACTTGTGCGTTGATCACAGCCATCGCTGACATCTAGTGTAAATATACATTACCATCGGTCGAACTATTTATCTTGATTTTTACACACACCTCCCTCCCCCTACCGCCCACTCCCTGTGTTTTTTCCCCGGCCCCGTCCCAATCACGAGATAAGATGTTTTGCATATGTGAGGAAGAACTGGATTTTCGACATTCCTGTGGTCAATCTACACTGTAAGAAATGATTCTGTGGTCATGTAGATTTGAATTAATGTATCAGGTAAAATATATTCAATATAATTGTGTTTTTGATTTTCAAGCAAACATTTAATTACATTTCATATAAAAATGTTCTGAATAAAATCCACCCATATTATTTAAATACATATTAAGCAATATGTTTATCTAATTCCAAACAGACAGAATATTGAGTGAATTCAAATTAATATAATCAGACAAATTTGAATGGGAAAGCACTTCCAGGTCAAAGTGCACATTATATTTTTGTAACTGACGCTGCAGGCTATCATCGCGCCACAAGACATTTGAAGAGAGTTGCAGACTTTGATTGATCTGGACTACTAAGGTAAGAAAACGTATTCTATGATGGGCTAGTGAGAAGAAAGCATGTAGTGGTAAATGACAATGAGGCGAGCTATAATAGAACAAGAGACTCAGTAGCAACAGAAAGTTGGCTTCTGTTGGAAAGGCTATTTGATGTATTAGCGTGATGTTGCTGCCCAAAATATGAAAAAGGCATTGCACATTTTTAAAGAATTTATGGTTCGAAGACAAACAATTATTTTGAAGGAGCATTTCCGCTATGGTGTTCCCTACGTTTCAGCGTTCCCTGCATGCCTCGCGTGTTGATATCGCCAGTATGGCACAAGCCGTGTGCGCAGTTTGTGGAAAAACAGACCACCCGAAACTGTAAAGTTCGAGTATTTGTGAAAGAAGAAAAGTGCACGTGGCTCGTCTGTTCAGTACGAAGTCGTTATGTGTGGCTTTTTAGCGCGGGTTAGCGGCAGTTGCTCGGGGGGGTTTCTGAGTAGATTAAGCACGTTTTGAATGTCTAACACAGCGTGTCTTTCCCGCGCGTACCTGTCTCGCTGCAGAGGGGAAACAGGGCAGTGGCAGAGCGCGGGGAAGGGTCGACACCATGCGCTCTCGTGCAGGGTAGCGGGGATGAACAGATCCGATGCAACGAACGCATCCATGAGAGCGGAGAGAGACTTATTAAAAATTATTATTTGAGCGCGTGTGATTAGTGCAGCAATACAGCGGCCCTGTTTAGAAGACCGTTAGAGCTTATCGGTCCAGGTGGAGCGGCACACCCCTCATGACAATGAAAGAACAATTTGAGACCAAGGCCCATGGGAAAATAAAATGTAATAAAATAGATGTAAAAGCTATGAAAACAATAATGAATGTAGTGTCTACTATTTTTGTTCTGACAGTTTTTTATAATAAGACACTTACAATTTCATGTTGCAGGACACTGAGAACTTGGAGGAACTCCAACAGCAGCTCATAATGACTATCACTGTGACCTCAACGCCTGGAGCTTCTGCAAACGACAGGCCCAAGAACGTTGGAATTGTCATAGAGGGTGTGGAAGTCATCACAGGACTTGGAGATATTGCAAGGGCTTGCTCTGTCCTCCTTGGCTTGACCTATGTGTTGAATCTCAGTTATCCCACACAGCTGAAGTACACATTTGAGGTATTCCAAAAACTTTTCTTGGAACTGGATGATTCAAAGTTGTCAAACAAAGTCCAGTCCCTCAAGAGCAAACTTCTGGCTTGAAATGAGACTGTAGTTGCAACATAAACTTTTGTTCTACACAATGTTCACCTTCTACAGAGCTTGAGAAATGCATATTTGGAAGTGCTATGTTTGTGAGTTTGCACTGATTTGGACTTTGTCCCACAAAGGTCAATTACATTTCAAATGTTATTTCAAAGAACATTTATTTATTTTTATTTTTTATTTCTACCGTGTACAAATGGCACTTTAGTAATTTATGTAAAGTAAAGTTCTGGTTTGAAATGTGTGAGCAGACTTCTAGTTGGAACATGAGACTACAGAGCTAGGAAAAATGCACATTTCAAAGTGCTATGTTTGTGAGTTTGCACTGATTTGGTTACGTTTCATAGGTCAAAGAACAAATGTTTTTTTTCCTACTTTGTACAAATTGCACTTTTATGATTTTATGTTTTGGCACATGCATACTGCTTCTACTGGCTGCTGCTTGAGATGCCTCGGATAACCGAGGCATCTCAAGCAGGTTGTTAATTGTTAATAAAATGCTAATTTGAGTATTAATTGAGTTCTGTACTTTATGGGCAATGTACTAGTTATTCTTAAATGTATTTAGATTTAATTCATTGCATTGATTGAATTCAAATCAATGCACAGATTAGTAATACATTATTATTACTCAATTATATACAATTGATAGGTAGAATTTAATTAATTTTTATTAGTACTATTTGCACATTATAGGGAGTTCATATTCTTCAAATTAACTCAATATTTTTGTTTAGTTTTAATTAATTCTGCTCTCTCTTCCTATTTGAATCTACTCATATTAAATAGATAAATTTTAAGTGTCTTATTTAATTAGTATTTACTCAATTCTAAGCAATGTAAAATCTAATTAAAACAATTGCTTGTAATCTGTTGCCTCATTTTTATTGAGTAGATATGGTGTATTTTTTCTTACAGTGTAGACATTTAGGCAATAATGTGTGTATAAAAATAACAATATTTAAATTATGACTTTTAATAAAAAAGGCTAATGACTTTAGAGGTGAAGAACAAATTTGAGTAGGCCAAGAAAAAAACTGGCCTACGCGGGCCTATCCCTGGCGCCGCGGCTGCTTCAAATATACATCTATCTTTTATTTCAGTCATTGTGAAAAAAAGGAATATTTGACATAATATAAATAAAAGTGGTGTGTTCATCTTTGATTGCTGTCCGCCTCGGTTTATGGACCAGATATCAAGTCCTAGAAAAAGAAAGAACAAATACATTAATACATTTCAGACTTTTCTTCTTTTGAATCTCAACACTACCTGTCTATTGTATATTCAACACTATTGCAGGAGTTGAACTTCTGACAGCAGATACAAGGTTACAATCGTTAGAGGAAAGGTAAACATGCATGAATTTTAACATTTGACGAATACTGTTTTTTGTAATGAATGTAAATTGTCTTATTGGGAAGCAGCAAATCAATGGAGCGGAAGGAAGAGGCTTTGAATGAGAAACAAGCCAACAATCTGGAAAACAGTGTGTACGTCATTCTCAATGTAATTCAATGTGTATGTGTTGTTTCATAATTTACATATTGGGCTGTTCTTTTTTAAGAATGGGGCCCCATCAACACCTCTGCTGATGGGCCATGGGGTGTGGACGTGAGTGGTCCCTTTGATACAGAGTGCCTCTCGTAACTACAACAATATAGCCATTGTTGCTGCTAGCGATGGCGACAATTACAATAACACGCGTATGTTTCGAAGACTCTACACGCTCAACAACTAACTAGTTACTATTGCGATTGCAATGTACATACATTTAAAAGGGAAAATGTTCGTACGGTGGTGTAGTTCAGAAAAAGCCCCGTTTTTAAACAAACCGCTGTTGTATATGCTTGCTGTGTGGTGCGTTAAAAACGAGGTGTTGAGGCCGCTTGGCCAATCCAACCATATCTCAAATTACATTATTTACACATATAGTAACTATAACTAATTACTTTTTCAAAGTAACGTGCCCAACACTGCATGCGGGAATAATCAATACTTTCACCTGCCGTGTCTCGCATTGCGCACACCGGAGAGAGCGAAAGAGTGTGTGTGTCTGTGGGGGGAGGGGGGAATATGGCCCATACTGTACCTGTGTATATATCACGTGGACTATAGAGCACTGGCTGGGGGGGCACAAGCATCTTGGGGGACGGGCACGGCCCCCTATGGCCCGCCCATAGCGACGGTATGAGTATATATAGACATGTCCTTAACAGAGGTCCTACTGTACTCCAGTATTTCGGGAGCATGGAAGCCAAAGGTTTTTACCACGAACGCGCTTCCAGAGTCGCCAAGACTCTCTTCCCACGGAACGAAAACTCACCTCAAGCCGAGGTGAAACAACGGGTACGTTGTTAAATGTAATGTTGAATATGAATGTTATTAGGCCCTAGGAGTATGTAATATTAAACAATGCTACAGCCTCTAATGTCTTTGGCAATGTTTCTTCCAGACTCCAGGCAAACGTTCGCCAGCATCATCTTTGCGGCAATGCAAAACAGCAAAGCGTCTCGTCACAAAAAAAGCGGTAAGTGTAATCCTGTATTATGTGTAGTGTATAATGGCCAATAAGCCAGGCATCCTCGCTTAACTAAGCCACGACTCATGACTTTTCTCAATTTCAATACAGGCAGCGGTTTCCATGTCGCTGGTGCGTGACAATAAGGACCGCTGGATGGCAGACATTGAACAGCGTCTAGCCGTGAGGACAGCGGAGCTTACTGCGGAACGAGCTCGAGTAGGTCAGCTGCTTGCTGAGAATGAAAAATTGCACGCTGACCTGTCAGCCAGCAGAGCGGAGACCGACAACCTCCAACAACAGTTGCAGGGCCTGAGAGAGACCACTCAGAGCGGACTCCTCGTTCAAGATTTGAGAGCTGGCTTAGGGCAGCTGCAATCGGCGCTACTTTTGGCTCATTCGACACCAGTCAGACCAAACACCACTCACTCTACACCTGCCAGACCAATCCCCAGAAGCGCCTCAACACCAGAACCAGATATAGAGTGGTCAGAATTTCAGATGTCGCCATTGGCCCTGCCTTGTTCTTTCAACGAGAGCCTCGAAATTCCCCGTCAACGCCCAGATGTGAGCTTGCGTCATTTTGGCCCAGAAGACCATAGTCGAATCCACCAACAAAGCTTCGGCCAAGTTGGCAGATATGGATGCCTGCTCTTCAGACACATTATCTCGGAGGAGAACTACCAGACATGGACCAAAACTACAAATTGGGATGGATCCAGAGGCAAATTACAACTGCCTCAAAATGTGAAGAGTTTTGTGCTTGGCACACTGAAGACACATTTTCCTGGCATGGACAGGGCAGAACTGAAAGAATGTGTGGACAAAATCAACGAATTTCTGCGTACAACACGCAGGAATCCCAAAGCGTTGACTCTGTAAAACACTGTACAAACACTTGGAAGTACTGTAACAATACAGTTATTACTTTATTATTTTTACTTACTCCTTATTTTGTAATAAAAAAAACACTTCTCAAACTTCTTGTCAATTCAGTTCTCAAGAGTCCTCACATTTTCAAAAGTACTGGTCATTGCATACACACTCAAAAAAATGATTCATTGGACTAACTCAATTTAATTGATGGTAGAAGTTACAACCAAAAAATATAGTTAAAAAAAAAAAAATGATGCCATATGTAGCGCGAGCGGTGGGCGAACTATAAAGTGGTAAATTTAAAACCAACAACGCCACCCAGGTCTAGGACCTGGGAAATATAATTAACTTAAATAGAGCACACAGCCCCCAACCCTCGCTGATCCCCCGCCAGTCTCAGCGATTAAACCCGCTGGACACCACTTCATGTGCGCAAATTCCACACTTGTGACGGATTAAACATAACCACCTAAGTACAGTCACAACAAGCCAGTCCTCCATACATGTAGTTAGATGCCCCCGTGTTCGCGTTTCAGCCCGGCAGTCACGTTAACAGGAGGGGAGATACCACGTCGCGGGGATGGCTTGGCATCTGTGTGTCTTGCTCCGAAATAGCTGAGAGTCAAAGTAACAAAGGATAATGTAAGTGGGCGCGCAAGAGTGCCGAGGTAAAATATAAACTTTTAAGAGTTAGCTAAAGATATCACGCGCTCATCAGATTGGTCCCGTCGCCGTAACAACGTGTTAAGAAAGAGACGTAAACAACATGAATCTAATTTATATATATGAAACCCTGGCTGCTTGCGCCCTGTGCTGCTTGTGTAATCTTTGTAAAGCAATACTTACCGAAAAATTGCAGATGATAATGGATGACAAAATGAGACGTTGTCCTCACGTGGAGCTTGCTAAGCAAAAAAAAAATATCCCAGCATTCCAAAAATACAGCATAGTAATGTTAAATTTAGATAATTACAAAGTGAATTAACAGTATGATAAAGTTTTTTTGTAATTACATCGTAATTGTGGTAAAAATACACCACTAGATGTATTTTAACCAAACTATGATTAAATTAACATGTTACACTTGTATTTCAAAATAACATTTGTCTAATGTTGAAATGTTGGCGTAAATTTACAGAAATTTGTTACAGTGTATAAAATATTGAATGTTGTTTAACAGAGACATCAAACCGTTTATAGCAGTCATTGAGCTCAAATGTCTCTGTAGCAGGTATGTATCAGTTATTTGTGTAGCACAATTCATACACAAGGAAACTCAAAGTGCTGAGCAAAAGAAAGCATTAATATAAATAATCACAGTACATTAACAAAGATAAATATAAATTCCCTCAGTTGTAGCACAGCTAAAGTGAGACAGGCCTCTTCTCTGACAAGGTTTAAAACCAGGTTAAAACAGTTCTGTTTAGCTGTGCATACAACTGAGGTATTTTATATTTATCTTTTTTAATGTACTGTGATTATTTATTTTAATGCTTTCTTATTTTGCTCAGCAAATATAAAGCCCTTAAATATTTATTTAGCATTTGATTTGATTACTTGTTAAATTGTGTTTGGAGACTATAATATATTTTAATAACGTTAGTAATTTTGTCCCAGTCATTGCAGCGTCAATCAAAATCATCACTAACACAGCTCACATCATGCGCAGCGACAAAGCGTGTCCTGCTGTTGTTTGCTAAAACTAAAGGTGTTTGGAGGCTACAAATAAATAATACCTGCTTTAAAATGAAACGTGGTAAATATCCACAACAGAAAATCGCGGGTTAGCAGGGCATTTATGATGGGGGTCGCGGGCTAAAAACTTTGGGAACCCCTGGTCTAACCTACTGGAGACAAATGCATGGATAAAAATCTCCAGGTCTGCTTTAGACACTATGTTTTTGATCCTGGCAATGTTTAGAGTGTGGAGTTAAAATAAATGAATTACAGCTTGCTAAATTATTTGAAAGCATCTTCATTATGATTGTTATATTTATGTATTTATTATAAATGTTAGAGATGCCAGAGAAAAGGCGTCTGCTTTTTTTCTGAGTGGGAGGAGACACCAGGGAGCTGTTTGAGTCAGATAACGTTCAGCGTTATATTACCAATAGTTTCTCTTTCCATAACGATATTCTCTCTTTTTGGAAAGATCACCAACGTGATGCAAAAGTTTACGTTATATGCAGTAGTTTTAATGTCTAAGGGTTATTCCAGAGACTGGCCTGCTACAAGGTGTCGATGTGCGCGGGGCAGAAACTTGCCAATGTAACCCTGCTCACAAGTGCCACCTGGTGGTTGTTTTGGTCATTGCAGCATCACTGGGAGGGGGGAAAATAAAAGACGCGTGAATCACACGAGACTCACGTGTGATTCACGCGTGAAAGGCGACAAAACGGAATGGGACCTACTGTAGCAATTTGCCTGATGAACTCGTCAAGTTTTAAGCCCCGTCCCAATTTTCACCCTAGCCCTTAATTTGTACCTTTGCCCTAGATTTTGTGCGTGTCCGCGGGGGTTGTAGGGTGTCCCAATACTTAGGGAGCAACGGCGAGGGCACTCACACCCTTAATAATGGTGATCCCATGATGCATAACAATAGTTGGTAAAGTAGCTGTTGGGCAAAGCCGCGCTACAATGAAAGAAAACAACATGAAACACCCGGGCGCAAGTGTGTGCTGAACATGGGGAAGCTTCGAAGCGTGTGCTATGTGATTTAGAGATTTTTTTGAAGGGTGTGTTGGTGCCGTATGTGGTGACGTTCGCTTGCGAAGCAGCCGCAGCGTTTGGCGATCACTGAGGCTTCAGAGACATGATGCATGTTTCTATTATAGATCCATGCATGGATGTAGTTCAGAGACTGCAACACTTTAACAGGTTACGTTGTGATCTGCGGCTGTACCCGGTCTCTGTGTGCATACATGTGTGTGATATGGAGCAGCCCCTTACCTAATTATAGCTAATCTTATTCATATGAAATACAAGTTAAAACGTCCCACTTTAAAAAATAATTCGTTTCATTAAGGCTTTCCTATGTGTGGTGCAATCAGACACGTCAATGTTGGGTGTGATGTGGAACGCAGGGGTGTCCCCTAGATCCATTGGTGTCCCATTAGGGAGAATATCAACGAGTGCACTCCCCTATTGAAGGGCACTTTTCTGTTGAGGGCACTCATAACTCAAGTGCCCTTAAAATTGGGACGGGCTCTTCATCTATTGAAACAGAGCTGAGTAGCATTTCTTCTCCAAGTGAACCATATGTGGTCCTGATAAAATACATCAAGCAGGCCCGTCGCAAGGGGGGTGCGAGGCCCTGTGCGAACCTGAAATGCAAAGCTCTGCCATGACACTTTTTTTTCCCAGATCTGAGGAAAGTTTTCCCTGTTATAATCTTTGACATGAATTCAGCACCGCCTCGCGTGGTGCGTCAAGAGAAACAGCACGCGCTGTGTCCTCGCTCCAATACAGCGTCGGAGGCTCATGCACACTCACGCACACACACAGACAGACACACATGCACATACACACACACTGTTACGGCGCTCGGAATTGCGGTCTTTTTAGCAGACATGTCTCAACTCAAAAGATTGAACTAAAAGGAGTCTTCTTCTTCTAATAGTTAGATTAAAGCAAAATGCGCCAAAATGGCTATGAGGCGGAGTCAATATTTGTTGTATATTTTTTCCCATCAAATTATGTTTTTTCCATGCCTCCACACACTGACAACAACATACACTCTTTCTCTTCCCCTCCTCCTCCTCCACACACTTTGACCACAACAAGGCGTTTTATGCCCAAAATCCACTGCACTCGCAGTGGGCGCTAAAGCTGGGAATACAGGGTTTTGCTTTTATAGCAACAACAATCCTCCTGAAAGTGTGAGACAGGCCTCCTCTCTGACAATGTTTAAAACCAGGTTAAAAACAGTCCCGTTTAGTTGTGCATACAACTGAGGGATTTTATATTTGTATCTTTCTTTTTAATGTACTGTGATTATTTATGATTTTAATGAGTTGCCATGTGTATGAATTGTGCTATACAAACAAACTTGCCTTGCCTTGCCTTGCCTTTATAATATGTTTTTGATGTGGACATTCGGACTAAAAATTTGCAATAGCAGCGCTCACACACCTGTCTCGCTGCTCCTCCTCCTCCTCCTCCTCTGCTCACACAAAGGGGTCCGCTCCTCTGCTCACACACCTGTCTCGCTGCTCCTCCTCCTCCTCCTCTGCTCACACAAAGGGGTCCGCTCCTCTGCTCACACACCTGTCTCGCTCCTCCTCCTCCTCCTCCTCTGCTTACACAAAGGGGTCCGCTCCTCTGCTCACACACCTGTCTCGCTGCTCCTCCTCCTCCTCTGCTTACACACCTCTCTCCTCCTCCTCACGCAGAAGACACGAGTATCCATCTCTCCGTTCACTGGGCTCATTCCCGTTACTTTCTTCGTAACTCACTCAGACGCTGCGAAAGTTATTTGACAGCTCCGTAAAGTTTTTTCCAGAGGACCCTGCTACGTACATAGCCGCCCTCGTGCCTGCCTGTTTACAAATCGCTTTTGGTGAAAATTTGTCTTTACTTGTAATAATGTACTTTTGAACAAAAAAATCACAGAGCTAAAGAGAAAGGGGTCTCAGGGTCCGAACCTGGACCGCAGTCCATAGTTTGGGGACCCCTGAACTAGTGTATTTATGAAAAAAAAATGTTTTTAATAAATAAATATGGAAGATTGCGGGGCCCTGTGTGGCGCGAGGCCCTGTGCACACAGGGTCACACAGCCCCTTTGATGGGCCTGCCACCAAGTGTGAACATGCCCTTGGAATTAAATAAAATTATGAAATTATGTAAAATACAAATCTTGAATTAATCATGGTTAAATCATGGGTTTTACAAACATTTTAGGCCCCCGTTTTAAGAGACCAGTAATGTGTCTCACCATGTAATAACTTAATGTACAAATCACAAATAACACAAATCCATACATTCTCAGTATTCTGAGATCTATGGATCTTTCACAGCCGCACTATGATTGTGTGAAAGAAGGAATGAGTGAACAAACACTCTCCCCTTATATGGAGTTCACTTAACTTCATCTTGATTGATTAGCTGGTTTGGAAAAGATTTTTCCTCTGATGTAACATTGTTTCTCAACTGTGGCCACCCACACAATACAGTAATAGATATTTTGCAAAATGCAAATGCCATTCCTGGCACATATGAACAAATATAATGCTCTATGTTGTTAACTACTACCCACAAACTGGTCATAACCCCTGCCTCAATACAATATTTTAAGTGCCTATTCAATATGTATGCATTGATATAGAATAACAAGAAATGGTCTGCGCACTTCCTCATCCAAAGTTATCATTTCCCTTCAAACAAAGTGAGGGTCTGTAGTTAGGATATGGTAAGATTATTATTATTTACTTAATTCTAACATGGATTCCCTTCATAATCATTCTTCAGAAATTAACTTGTAGAGCCCCTTTTCTACACGAGGCAACACAAAGCGCCTCACAACCCGTATCACATCCAACATACACATTGCTTTAAAGAACTAAACATGACTGGAACAGCTGAGGGCCCGTAGATTTGTGTCCTTAATCATAAGCGTGAGCAAACACAGCAAAGAGAAATATCAAACTCCAGTGTGCGCTACATTGTCTTTCTTGGTAATTTTAAAAGGACATTGTTGCTGGTGTGGCTTTGGTTTAATTGACTGGAGAATGTTCAACTGTTGTCGATTTCACTAACTATGTAACACTTTCAACCAAATACAGGAGTTTGCATGTTTGGGGATTATGATCTCCCCAAGACTGCGTAGGTTTCCTCTGTGTGTTCCAGTTCTTTTGCGGCGTGTGTTCGGCGTCTTGCTTCTTTCATTCCTATGTGTGGAGTGACCGGAAATTACTGGTACCCCAAAATTTTCAAGCGCTTTGTGTGATCTTGGTTTGTGAAATGCATTATATAAAAACAAAATTACTGATTCATCCCAGGATGTTTGATTCAACATTTTTTTTTTTTTAGAGAATGTTTGGTGGGCATATTTTAATCAACCTTTTTTATTTAAAAAAAAAAATACAAATGCAAAAGTCTTCACACACTTGTTAAATCGATGATGCAATTTCTCTTGAGCATGCAACACCAACGCTCACATTGTTATCTGAATCCTCCATTGTCTGGCCATATACAGAATTTGCAAGTTTTTGAAGAGTAGATTTCTGCTGCATTGTTTGTGCCGCAGCTGTGGAGGAATAGTCAGGGGAAGGTTTGTTGTGACATGGAGACATCACAGCGAATGTCCTCCCATAACAAAGGTGGTAATAAAACTGACACCCCGAGTTCTCACACCTCTCGGTAACAACCTGTTACGCCAGCGACGCTCCAACTGAGACGCGAAAGCCCCTATTGTCTCTAAAATATCATCCAATTGCTTCCAGCCCAGTGCTCATATAGAGAGATATAAAGTGAGTGGGGGGTGAAATGTATCGCTATGTCCTGCAAGAGCCCCGTGGTTAACTACAGCTACTTTGATCTTCTCCTGGCGACCTGTGCACTTCAGAGTTATAACATCCATCATTCACAGCTGCAGGTCGAGGACAGGGCAACCCCATTTCCCCTGGCCACACAACCCAGAACACCTGCTTCGCTCCTGAGATGAGAGAAGGGGGAGAGAGGGGTGAGGCTCGACAGCGGGGCATGGGATTACTGTATGTACCCACCTGGCTGGACACAGACAAGGAGAGGAGCGTGTGAGAATTCTGTCTTGCACTGCATTGTAGAAAGATGGTGTCATAAGTAAGCTATTTATTATGTAAGAGTTGCATGTAGATGTCCAAAACAAGATTTATTCCATGATGTTTGAGATAGGTTTTTTCATTATTTTCCTTTGGACCACAATACAAAGATACCGTACAATAGAAAATACAGTATGGTAAAGGCCACGGTAAAGGCCAGAATGTCATGCCATAAACACTACTTTTGATTGTTCTAGTGTTCTACAGTCCTGGATCTACAGCCTGTCCTTCTGTGGGAGCGGATCCCGCCCTCAATGTGGTCCTCCCCGAGGTTCTTCATTTTCTCCCACTGGGTTTTTAGAGTTTATTTTCTTGTAGATGCATTTAATAAATCACTAAGTCTGTCTTTAATTGTGTACCGCATTTCACAGACTAAGTTCATGCAGCGTTTTGCAATTGTAAACAATGATGATGCATTGGTTTTATATACTGTAGATCTTTCTTCAAAATTCTTCACGTCATTTTTCATTTACTGCGTATACTGTAGTGATAAATTACTACTGTAGCCACAGCTACCCTGGGTCACACTGACAGACGCAAGGCAACCAGTTTGTGCCATCAGCCCCTCTGATCACCAACTATTTACACACACACCAGACTCATTTTAGGCAATATAGGTAAAGTGAAGTGTCTTGCCTAATACAGTTTGACATTTTTACTTGGGGAACACCAAGTACCACAGTGGAGCACCTGAGGTACTTGGTGTTCCCCAAGGTCTCCCATCACAGTACTAACCAGGCCCTGCCCTTATTAGCATCATAGGTCTGATGGGATCTGGCTTTCACATGATAGTGGCGCGATAATAATAAAAGCTATTAATCATTTACTCTTCACCATGGCCCCCACAATTAAACTGAGAGGCGGACGGGGATCATACAACACAAAGGTTATATCTTCTATTATACAACTGTGTCTATGGCATGATATTATTGTGTGTTGTATTGTATCAGAACATATCTCTTGAGAAATTAAAATGCCTTTCTATACATCTCCTTGCTCTGACTTTGTTCACCTGATTGCCTTTTTGTGGTCGCTCAATTGTAATTGTTCTTTGCCGTCTCTCCTTCACTGTCAAGTGCCTGATTAGCATTTGGCTGGCTTAATTTCTGTAAAGGTTTCATGAAATTCAGCAGAAGGTAAAGTAACTATCTTGGGCTTACCCTGTTCCAATGCAGATCACACAAACGATATGACGTGTAACATCTTAGAGTAACCGTGTCTTTGGCAAGTCCACCATTTTGTTCTGGACCACATCCTGACAACATAAAGGTCGGCATGTTCTCCCGCCTATAGCCTCAGTGGAGATGAAAGCCTGATCCTTCCTCTTTGAATTGTGTGCTCTCTGATCAAAGTGAACCCTATTGGACCGCATCTCTGGCAACGGTGACTGCTCTTTTCCTCTTACATTTCAAGCTTGTAAAAACAGCACAAAACATCAACAGTCTGGAGTGCCATCAGGTCATTTCTTTGGCCACACATGGTGACAAGTCTAATTTCTCAATCTCATCCTAACTACACTCACACACTTTAAGCTAACTTTAAAATCACAACAAATTAATAAATGTGGTCAAATCTACAGCTCCTAGCTTTCTAGTTCTATGAAGTATTCAAATGCATGTAGTTTTGACCTCTGTCAGTATCAGCTTTTTTAGACGGAAGAGTAGAAAGGATGGGTCTGCTAGAAACAATCAAGAGTCTCAATTGTCAATAGAGAGTCTTTGATTGAATGGAAGATGAGAGGCACAAGGACAGAAACTAGAGACATTCCCATTGAAACCACCATTGACAAAACAACTATATTGATTTCTAGTTATCGTCAAGGCCAGTAAAGATAAATAACAGCAGTTCAGTGTTTACCACCGACTCTACTCCTGGAGACGGAATGTGAACCCCATTAACCCTTCTTTGGAAAACAGGCAAGAAGAAGCCTATTGATCGTGTTTTAATCTCCCACTTTCAGACCACTCTCCACCAGTTACACTAATTGAACTGAGATGCTTCACTCATAAAAACGCCGTAACAGAAAGCTTGCTTAAAATGTTCCTCAGATTGATTTAAAGCATGTACAATACCTCATTATGGATGAAATCAACAATGTTTTGATGGATTTGATTTGATTATGTTCTAACCCAGCAATACAAGACAAACTTTTTTGGTGAACCACTCCTCCAGCTTGCACCAATCACCACGGACACTACTAACACCTTTACCTCCCAGTCCCTCTTCTGCTCCTCTCTGAGTCCTTGGTATTTCTCTGGCTTTTCGTGTTCTTTTATTCCTAATGTTACCATTGCTTGAAATTGCCACTTCCACCACCATTTCTTTCGTCTGCCCTTTGTCTACCACCACAATGTCAGGTTGGTTCAACATTACCATTTGGTCGGTCTGTATCTGGAAGTCCCACAGGATCTTTGCACGCTCATTCTCCACCACCTTTGGAGTTTTCCACTTAGACCTTGGGGTTTCCAGCCCATACTCTGCACAGATGTTTCTGTACACTCGGCCAGCCACTTGGTTTTGGCGTTCCTAGGCCTTCCCTGCCAGCATCTTGCACCCTGCAGTGTTGGACCCGGCACAGAGGCACTGAAATCTTGTGAAGATCATAATGATTGTGTTCAAAGAAGCAGGGAAGACTTTACCTTAAAAAATGTAATTTCTAAAAGTCATATGCGTATTTACATTTATTTATTGTTTATTTGGTTGGGACAGTACATGTTAATTAACACATTGCTCCGGATTGTAGCCTTGGGCTAAATTGCATCCGTTGTCCCACATTTATACTCACAAACACACACTCTCAATAGTTCACCCTGAACTATTGCACATTTTTTTAGTGGTAAACCGTAAACCGGAGCACCAGGAGGAAACCTACGCAGACACGGGGAGAACATGCAAACTAAACTCAGAAAGGCCCTGTTCTGACTGGGATTTGAACCCAGAACCTTCTTGCTGAGAGGTGAGAGTGCTATCCACTCAGCCACCGTGCCGCCCATATACTCTACATATACAGTATAATCATTATTCTTTCCTGATCAATGTGCAGGGACACGCTGGGTTCAGAAGAGACATGCTGGGTTCAGAAGAAAGGATTTTGGGTTTTTGGTGTCCTCTGAGGTGAATATCAAATAGACCTTTACATTTTGCTCAAATGGAAAATACAGTTAAAAATGAGAGCAGGAAATCAAAGTGAACAAACTGTGAGATGCTTTTTTTTTATCTCCCTGAAGACTATTTAAGTAAGATTCCTATAACACATTATCATTATTTTACTTATTAACTAATCCTAATTTGAACATTTTATTGGAATTTGGGGAAAAGAAACCCATAATTTTAACTTAATGTAAACCATGCATTTATAGTGAAGACCCAGTTAATATGTTTTATGGGGTAGTGGATGTTTAACACTGGTGTTTTTGATAGGGAACAATGTTTAAGGCTCAAAACAGACTAAACAGACAAAAGAGATTAACAGAATGATAACTATTGGTTAGTGTAGTAATCTTTAAGAGAGCTGCCCACTGTATATTGGATTTGAAAATGTTACCCCGACCAAACGGAACAAGGTCGTGCATTGCTACAGTGAGAAGAAAGCGGCTTGGTGTTTTGTGTGGTTCTTTTGAAAGACAGGTTAGATGTATTACCTTAATGAGCTGTCAGCTGCCTCGGTGACGTGTCATTTGTCAGCTGCTTCCTTGCATGGTCAGCCTGATTGACCCGACAGTTTACTCAGACTGACCATGTTCCTGCTCGCCCGGTGGTCACTGGAGGAAAGAGTCCTGTGTGTGGGACAGGAAGAAGGCTCATCTCATCTTGAATGATGCAGTTGTTGCCCCGCTTTCTGATTTCAATCACGTCCTGATCAAGTGTTTGTATATTACTGTATATATGGTTGAAAAATGTTGACTAGCTAATAGATCTACAGTAGCTTTTGTTGTTAAGGAACCACAAAAAACATTTGATCTCTTAAAAGACAGACCGTATCTTTTTGAATCAGCACATGTCCAGTGTGCAGCAGAACAGAACAGCTCTTTGTAAGTGCACCAGTACACACAACAAATACCATTTTGTTTGTTCAAAAAGCATCAGGAGGTGGACAGACAGTGTCAATGCAACTTGAAAAAAGCCTTTTTTTTTCAAATAAATGTCGAAAGATGTTCCCAGAGCATTATTTGATTCACCTGAGGGCCCGATTTAAGTTTCCTTTTCTCTTCCTGTCTACGCCAACCAGCTCGAGCATGGATCATATTCTTTGCAATCAAAGAGTACAAGTGTGAGTTGTGTATTTCTCCAATGTGTAGCAGCTTAGTAGGTAAAATGAGTGGGAGAAATGACTGAGTGAGAACACACTTTCCAAGGAAAGAATGGAAAGTGTGATTTACAACCAGAGCGACCGGAGCCAGGCAGGAGATAGTGAATATTGGTGTAAATAATAAAATAAATAAAAATAAAAAGTCTGACTTTTGAGCAAAGTGGAATTTAAATAGAAATAGTTTTCCCCGTAGGAAACGCAGCCCTTATGCCCTGGAGCGATGATTCTCCCCTGCGTCCCTCGACCACGGCCTGGGGGCTTAGTGCTGGACTCCACCGGCCGCGTCTCCATTTACTCGCGTAGGCTACTGTCCGTCAGACGTCCGTAAAACGGAATAGTGGCCACACCGGCTTCAGCAGTGCGCAGCTCTGGCTGTGCGTTTATCAGCACCTCGTGAGGCTTTGTTTTAAATAGAAGAAGTGGTGTGTGATTTGCATGAGCTGTGGCTATGATCTATGCAAAGCACGGCATATTGAAGCATCGAGGACGTTGCGATGGATGAGGCAAAAAGAGAGCTTGGCTAGCGATGCGTTTGCCATGACTTGGTTGCTGCGTTTATGGAAGGCGCATGGTGTGAGTGACTGTTTCCGTGCGCGAGCTCGGCTCTAGCGCTAGGCGTTGGCACGAGCTCGGCTCAAGTGCGCGGCGTAATGTCCGGGCGCGAGCTCGGCTCTAGCGCTAGGCGTTGGCACGCGCACGAGCTCGGCTCAAGTGCGCGGCGTAATGTCCGTGCGCGAGCTCGGCTCTAGCGCTAGGCGTTGGCACGCGCACGAGCTCGGCTCGAGTGCGCGGCGTAATGTCCGGGCGCGAGCTCGGCTCTAGCGCTAGGCGTTGGCACGCGCACGAGCTCGGCTCGAGTGCGCGGCGTAATGTCCGTGCGCGAGCTCGGCTCTAGCGCTAGGCGTTGGCACGCGCGCACGAGCTCGGCTCGAGTGCGCGGCGTAATGTCCGTGCGCGAGCTCGGCTCTAGCGCTAGGCGTTGGCACGCGCACGAGCTCGGCTCGAGTGCGCGGCGTAATGTCCGTGCGCAAGCTCGGCTCTAGCGCTAGGCGTTGGCACGCGCACGAGCTCGGCTCGAGTATGCGGCGTAATGTCCGTGCGCGAGCTAGGCTCTAGCGCTAGGCGTTGGCACGCGCACGAGCTCGGCTCGAGTGCGCGGCGTAATGTCCGTGCGCGAGCTCGGCTCTAGCGCTAGGCGTTGGCACGCGCACGAGCTCGGCTCGAGTGCGCGGCGTAATGTCCGTGCGCGAGCTCGGCTCTAGCGCTAGGCGTTGGCACGCGCACGAGCTCGGCTCGAGTGCGCGGCGTAATGTCCGTGCGCAAGCTCGGCTCTAGCGCTAGGCGTTGGCACGCGCACGAGCTCGGCTCGAGTATGCGGCGTAATGTCCGTGCGCGAGCTAGGCTCTAGCGCTAGGCGTTGGCACGCGCACGAGCTCGACTCGAGTGCGCGGCATGCTGGAAATGAGGAGATGCATACGTACTTCTATGAGAGGAGGCGCTGGGCTGCCAGAACGGATGAATGTGGTAGAGAACCGGGGACCGAGCTCCTGGAGAGATGATTGAGGGAGTCCCAGGGCAGCAGTCCAAGTGGCTGCTCCTATCCGGAAGGAGTGGCGGGTGTAGAGAAAGGAAGAGAGGTTACATGCAGGGAGCAGAGGTTTTGAATTTGTTCAGACCAGGGGGTCGTCGAGGGATTGTTTAAGGAGTAATTATAGTCTATGAATGTTGATAAAATGTCCATAGATGTTGTAGCATGTTAAAGTATCCTGGATCATCACCACGGGCCTTCTAGTTGGACACTAACTGTCCAGACCCTCCTGCATGGCAAGGAAAACTCACAAAACCCCGTGGGGAAAAAAGTGAGAAACCTTTGGAAGACCCTACATTGAGAGAGGGAATCCACTCCACGGACAGACAGGCTAGTCGTCCCGGACCTAAACTACAGAACAAGGACCATTGCCAATACTCCTTTAAGGATCTTCTTATGAGGGTGGAGCAGTGTGACTCGAAGTGGATTTTAGAGAATGTATTTAATGCCGATGTAGATGAGGCAGTGACGGCAGTACCCGCGATGCTGATGTCCAGAGACTGAGAGTGTGCAGTGAGAGGGAAAGGAGAATGCTGAATGAAGGATGAACTGTTGGTGTTTAGAGCGCTGATATTCGAACATGATTCCACTTGGGGAGACTAGAAGGTGAAAATGAGATTCATGAAGTACACTTACCCAGGAAGATTGATGTTCGATAGGAGATCTCTGGACCCCCAAAAACCAACGCACAAGGGCCCGGTCAGAATGAGGGCCAGGGTGCGTCAGGTAAGGCGAAGCGTGAGACAGGCCCGGCGGCAGGAGCCGCACCAGGAGACCAGGAGATAATATGCCTGGGGAACATGAGAAGGAGCACCGCCTACAGCCACTCAGAGTGCACGCAAACCGTGGGGGGCAGTGCTGCACACCAAAAGCCAATGAGTGCGGCCTGGGGAAGATAGCCGGCCAGGTTTGAAGGCCACGCCGAACAGTACTCATGCAGTCTTAGCAGGCCAGCGTTGCAGCAGGCCACCGTCGCGGCGTTGTAGCAGAGCTTTGGTGCGGCGTTGCGGCATCGCGTTCCTGCAAAGCTGAAAAGAGAAACCTCGAACCACTATCACTCGAGTGAAAAGGACCAACGGGCAGTGTCAGACCACGTCTTCAGTCAGACCACGTCTTCAGTCAGACCACTGACCTGATCCGTCGATGCCGGCTCTTCCCGTCATTGTGAAGCAGAACTCTCCAAGCGTTGGATTGTTCACCCCCCAATAGGGAACGCGAGTCCATGGTCGACACTGGTCCCACGATGAATGGGTGAGAGCACACGAATGCGTCGAGAATGCGGCAGGAGGCGGACACCGACGTGGCGTCAAACAGCGGCCACCGGCGATGAAGCGTGCGGCCGCCGACGTGCTGCGATGAAGCGTGCGGCCGCCGACGAGCTGTGATGAAGCGTGCGGCGTCAAAGCGTGCGGCGTCAAAGCGTGCGGCGTCAAAGCGTGCGGCGTGGAGGAGGAGTCAAAGCATACGGCGTCAAAGCGTGCGGCGACGAAGCGTGGCGTCGAAGCGTGGCGTCGAAGGGTGGCGTTGAAGTGGCGTAAGGCCAGAGCACTGGGCAAATGAACAGCACAGAGGGGCTCGGCCGCGCACCGACCAATCAGATCAATGCAGTGGACAAAACTTACAGTCCACGGTCAATTTAGACAGAGCGAAGGCCAATGCAGACGACAAATGTTATAGTCCATGGTTACACCTGACAGCCTGAAGGTCAATGCAGTGGGTAAAATGTTCAGTCCATAGTAAAACTGACAGCCTGGAGGTCACTGCAGTGGGTAAAATTTTCAGTCCATAGTAAAACGGACAGCCTGGAGGCCACTGCAGTGTGTAGAATGTTCAGCCCATGAGTAAAACGGACAGCCAGAAGGCCAACACAGTGGTTAAAATGTACGGTCCATGGTGAAAACGGACAGTCTAAATGCCAATGCAGATGGTAAAACGAACAGCCTGAAGAGCAATGCAGCGGGTAGAAACACAGCCTGCGAGACAATTCGGCGGGATTAACTGACACGCCGCAGTTCAGTACGTTCATGGTAGTGCGGAAAACACGAAACCGACACTGTACCGTGAGTGGAGGCAGGGAGACGGGTGGACAGCGGCAGGCAGACAACGGCAGGGAGACAGAAGTCCCGTGCCCGGTATGGAAGCTGCAGGGTGCACGGAGTAACGCCTGGCCGCGAGTAGCAGCGGCCACGGGGAGACGAGCGGCAGCGAGTCCGCAGGAGAGGAGCCGCGGTGAGCCGCGGTGGAGACACAGCGACCATGGCGCGCAGCCCCAAACATGTGATGTGGAAGAGGAGCCGCGACCATGCAGGACGAACAATGTGCGAGGCGTGAGTAACAAGGTGACGAAGAGCAACCCATTGCAGCTTGAAGTCCGTTTGGTGAGCTGTGCTCTGCTTTGCTCTTAAACGCTGGCTTGATTGACACAGCTGCGGGGAGTTGATTAAGACAGGCTGAGTAAGGCGTGGTCAAGCCTGGTGTAATAACGTAGGTAGTCTACCATACTGAACCTCCGCTTAAGCTCCATTTGAAAGCAAATGGAAAAAGGGGAGAGAGAAAAGTGTCACGTGGTTGCATGAAGAAAAAGGGAACCCAAAATGCAGGACTGAAAATCAAATGTAATTTAATAAAAATCGAAATCCAGAGAGACAAAGGCACAAAAATCCAGAACTGAAAAACTAGACAAGACAAACTTGGTAGAGACAATGGACGGACAACAAGTGGGGAAAAGCACAGGGTATATATACACACAGGAGACACAGGTGGATCACATTAGGGCGGGGCTAACAATCAACAGGACACACTGGAATCAGGAAAACTCAAAATACAAGAGAACTAAAAGTAAATAAAACCAGGTTAAAATAATCCAAAAAGTCCACACCATGACAGTATCCCCCCTCAAAAGGACAGCTCCCAGATGTCCCAAGACGCAGGAGCCCAGGAGGGTGTTGGGGGGGGTCCGGAGAAGGAAAAAAAAAGACGGTGAATATTACTGGAAGTCCACGGTGGCACATTTCAAATGAATTGTCCATGACAAAACGAGAGACGAAGGTACAGAAAAGTCCAACAGCGACCAGACCAGGTGGGTGGAAAACTGGGGCCCAGTGACGACCTCCAACAGGACGGGGGAACAGAAGACCACCCCGGACGGAGCATGATGCCCGGCGGTGGCCCAGACACAGAAACCGAAGATTACCAGCCCAGACGGAACACTTGTCTGGCGATGGTTTCAGGCGAGGCAAAACTGAGGTCGTCAATGGGCAGCAGGCGTAGTAATCAAAACAAAAATCTGTACTTTAAGACAATGTTCAGGGTGGTGTAGCGAGAGCCAGGTGTGGATGAAAAGCAGTCCGCTGGGTCCCAATATGGTCCGTCCATTCTGTCACGTGGTTGCATGAAGAAAAAGGGAACCCAAAATGCAGGACTGAAAATCAAATGTAATTTAATAAAAATCGAAATCCAGAGAGACAAAGGCACAAAAATCCAGAACTGAAAAACTAGACAAGACAAACTTGGTAGAGACAATGGACGGACAACAAGTGGGGAAAAGCACAGGGTATATATACACACACACAGGAGACACAGGTGGATCACATTAGGGCGGGGCTAACAATCAACAGGACACACTGGAATCAGGAAAACTCAAAATACAAGAGAACTAAAAGTAAATAAAACCAGGTTAAAATAATCCAAAAAGTCCACACCATGACAAAAAGAACTCCAACATATCCAGGCTTTTTTGAAAGCAAGTCAATATTAACTTCAGGCAAAAAATAAACGGTAGATTTACGATCAGGAAACAATTATTTCATTTAATACATGAAAATAAAGTACACACATTTGTTAATAATCATTGTCATTAACAAACACTTATAACCAAGGACCACATCATAAATCAATACATGTATAATAATGTGGTAAATATATTTTTCCATTGTATTTCCAATGGAAAACGGACCAGACACGTGTCGACGAACGTAAAAAATAGGCTTGTTTCTATTTCCTCCGTCGGCGTCCGTTGCACCCTGCGTGGACGGACTGCTCCCTGCACGCGTTATACGGACGCATGTCGCGGGCATTGGAGTCACTTCCATTCACCCTCATGGAGAAAAAAAGAAATGGAAACGGAAATGAAACGGACACGTTTGGATGGATTCGTAGTACGTTTTACGCAGCCGGTGGAGTCGGGGCCTTACATGAAAGGTGTAACACAAGCAAGGGAGAGTATATGTAAAAGTATGTGCAGCAGACCCCCCTCTTTCTACAACCGTGCTTAGGCCCACCACTTTGAACCATGCTCAAGCCCAGTTGTCACAATCACACGGCACCTTATGTCCGGATCTAAACGCGTTCTGGGCCTAGGGCCGCTTTAACTGGGCTTTAGGTTATGTTTGTGACCGCAGCCGCAGACTACACAACTGAGTATTGTCTATAGTTACAACCTAACATCTTTCCTTTCTCCACAGTCTGCCGCACAACATATTATTATGGAATTCTCAAATGAACTTTAGACTGATGAACACATTTTCGATCATCAGGTGGACCTCCAGACAAATGTGTCGTCCCATGTGGCTAATATGTTTTCAGATGAGGCTGGGGAACTTCGGCCTGTTCTTTTTCTTTTCTTTTCACAGCGTTAGGTGTCAAGATGGCTCTCTCCTCTGGGTGTGGGGTACTGCTCTGAATAATGAGATGGCACCAGATGGTCTTTGTTAGGCGGGCCATTCTTCTGTGGCTCTGGAGATGGGCCTGTACGACATTATCAGCTGTCACTTAAACTCACTCACAGGCGAGACTGAAGGCGGAAGTGAGAGCTGCAACTCATGTGGAGAGGGCTCTTGGCTAAATTGTTGGACTTCAGCAGAGTGGGGATTTGTGGAAGCTTTGAATTCTATAGGTAATAAATGGATAATAATCCATCCTAATGTTAACTAATGCATATCAATAACTATGTTAAAACTAAGGTTTCTTCACCAGAAAAGACCTGGTTCCATTATTTCAGTGTTATAATGTTGTAAAAAAGGAACTAAGTCTTGTTGTGTTACCTTGTGTCAACAATAGTATCGAGAATGTATCTGTTGCTCGCCTATGTGGTCTCTCAAAGGATTTTTTTTTTTATTATGCCCTATTATTGGGCCATTAAGTCAAATAAAATAACAATCAAATTTGTCTTGGGGTTTAGCAAGAAACAGTGCACATGCTTGTACAATATGCACTGCTGGGGGAGTATCAGGGAACAAGACCAACGTACCATAAAACAACTAGCTATCACCAGTTATGTGTGGTGGTACAACCAGGTAAAGAAACTGGCAACCCAAATAAGAAACACATTCTGCTCTCTGATTGGATTTAAGAACAACCGCAACTCAGAAAAGTTCAAATATGATTTGCACGCATTGACCAATTCTTATGTATATTATTTATTTCCCCTCTGTGGGACATACCCAGATCACTTCCTCAGGGAGGCACACAATTTCTTTATACTGTACAAAAACAACAACACCATATTCACTTTTACAACACTAGGAGTAGTGTAATTGTGGAAACCTAGCAAGAGAGTCAGCAAATGACAATAGTGTAATATTTGTTGTTGTCTTGGTCTTAAACTGCCCACACCATCAGGTCAAGAAGACCGTGATTGGAATCCAAAGCTTTAGGATCACATTTACGGTACACTCACAGTAAAAAATAGAAAACCCATTTTAGAATGCTTCTGACATTGCACTTTTATTTCTATGACAAAACCCTCTTGTATACAATACTCTGCAAAATTATTACCTCTCAACATATAAACTGCCATATCTTTCACTGACGATAAAAGGCTGCACATGACAAGAAGCTGAAAGCCTAAGTGCAGAGTTGGTCGCAGTTCTATAGGAGCTTTAGGTAGACGGAGAGCCCTGAAAATGAGATCACAGCCAGCAAAACAAAGTAAAATACATGACAAATAAAACAAAATCTATAAAACAAGTCAATTGATTAACCTCATTCATGACCAGTCTTGGCTGTAATGCGTTACTAAGTATTGCGTTACTGTAACAGCATTTTAATCTGAGTAACGTAGTTTTGTAATGCGTCATAATGAAAATAATGTGTAAATATACTATTGTTACTACCTAAATATTTGTTACCAGTGGCACACAGCCTAGGGCTGCACTACTACTGTACGCGTGCCTGCATGAGAAAACAATCAGAGGAATGCATTTCACCGGTGGAGATATGTACACTAATTTGACTACATCAAAACAACCTGCCTAGCACTTTTCTGGAGACTCAAAGATCCTTCACATGGAGAATACATTTGTACATAAAAAGGGGGGTTTTACGGGAACGCTTGTTAGAACAGATGGGTTTTGAGTACTGATTTAAAGTTTGGTAGTGAGTCAGAGTTTCTCATGGGCAATGGGAGTGAGTTCCAGAGGGTCGGGGCAGCAAAGGTAAAAGGCTCTGTCCTCCAAGACTGTTCGTGAAATACTTCCTTCCCATCCCAGAATCATGGCCTGTCAAAAATGTTAAGGAGGAGGAAAAGTATGATGAAGCCGTTTTGACACAGGTTGATGTGGATGCTTAGAAAATCTTTGCCATATATGTGCTCCTGCAGAGACAGACTTGTGGGAGGTCAGAGACGAAAAGGTCAGAACAGAATAAAACCACCACACACCTGGGATGAGAGCTATGGGTGCACTGTCTCTCCCATAGGTGCCACAATGTAGGCCAGAAACTTTCTTCTCATGAAAGATGAAGGCGGAGGAGGGAGACGGGAACAGAACTAATCGGGACAAACTTGGAGAAGACAACAGGCATGAGTCAAGTGTGGAATCCTCTTTCATTAGGATTTCTGGACGAGGCCTGCACGGTTATTTGCAGAATTTTTTTTTAAAACGAAGGTCTCATAATCCCCATCCTCTCTGCAATAAATGTATACCTGCACCAAATAATGGAAACCAGGGTCAACATGTCATGCATTTGGGGACCATTCACAAAATAGTTAGGGGCCTCAAAGATTGCAATTTTGACATTTGGCAGAAACAGTCATGGTTTCTTTGTGTAAACATCATTCATTTACTTACTTTGCTGAGTAGAATATATACAATTATTATATACAAGGCGCCTACGCAGGCATAGGAGCCAATTGTTTATTCCAAAGTGTAATTGTATTTTAATTCATAGCACAGTGTACAATCGCAAACCACACCTCTACTACAAAACTATGAATGAAAGATTTTGATTGATGTTGACCAGGCTTGTCGCAATTAGAAAA